GGAGAGAGAGGGAGGGAAAGAGAGGGAGGGAAAGAGAGGGAGGGGAGGAGGGAGAGAGGGAGGAGAGGAGGGAAAGAGAGAGACAGAGGGGGAAGAGGGGGAAGAAAGGGAGGGAGGGAGAGAGAAAGAGAGGGGGAGGGAAGGAGAGAGAAAGAGAGGGGGAGGGAAAGAGAAAGGATATTACAAATGTTTTTTTTCTTTTTTATTGTTGTTAAATGTAATATTTCAAAAGCAGGAAAAAAATGAAGGGGCATAAAAGTGCATTTACCACATTTTTCTTAGAACAATTAGCTAAACTCTGCCTTGTTTATCCTTATTTCAGGTCGTAAAACCTTATTGTTCAGGTTAAATTGCCATGTTGGCCCTTTGCCATAAATAAGTGGGTTTCGGGTTTCAGTTGGTGCATTCATTGCCCCAAAGGTTCACCGTCACGGGGCTACACTAGACTGCTGGCCCCTGGCGACAGAGGTGCTGTTCTCACCTTGGGATCCCCGTGGAAGATGACCTGGCCCATGAAGTCGGTGTAGAAGACGGCTTCAGCAATGATGGAGAACCAGGTCAAGAGGTGACACACGCAAAGCCGCAGCAGCTCTTTGGGCATCTTCAGCATGGACAACCACAAGAGCCTCACGGTGGTCTCCGTTTCACCTTCCTCGCTCTCCGTGTCTCCGCTGGAATTGGTCGCACCGCTCGGGTTCCGGTGCCGGTACCTCTGCCGCTGCCTCTTCTGCATGTCGTAGATGTCGTTCATGCTCCGGGAGGACTTGATCAAGACCACGGCGTTGGCCCGCCGGAAGCGGTAGTGGTGGGACCCGATCTTCCCGTAGTAGGAGAAGGTGTTCGAAGGCTGGCGGTAGAACATGTGCCTCCGCCGGCGCATGGAGCTTGAGGTGCACGACTGCTTCATGCCCACCCTGACGTGCCCGTTCAGGAGATCTTTTGGTAGGGAGCCGTTCCCATTGGGGACTTTGGCCTCGTTCAAGTGATTCTCAAGTAACATCTCCTCCTCCTTCTCGTTCTCCCTGAGGAAAGCAGACAAGCGGTTGAATTTGGATTTCATGAGTTCTTGGCTGGTGCTGCGCGGCGTCGCCGGGTAGGACGAGTCCTGGAAAATGGAAGGTTCGATCTCGTGAAGGAAGAGCAGCTCCGATTCCATATCGAGGGTGGCGTCTGGCATGTGCAGGACCGAATCGCTCTTACTCCTGACAATGTCCACCTCCAGGAACTCCAGGTTGAGGTCTTGTTCGGACTGGACCTCGTCTGGGAAGAAGGAGTTCCCGTAAGGCTCCTCCTCGTTGATGACGTTGAGACGGTTGAGGGGAGGGAGGCTGCCGCTCAGCTTGACGCTGGACAGGGTCTCCGCTTCGTCGTCGATCCGGTCCTGTTGCGGGTTGTATTGCTCTTCCTCGATGCTGCATAGGTGGAGGACAACGGAAATCGAGAAGATAATGGCGGCAAAGAAGAAGAGGACCTGCTCCTGGGATTGGAAGAGGCTGCCCAAGATGGTGTGCATCCAGTCGAGGCCGCCCAGCATGTAGCCAATGGCTCCTCCCAGGCCTACGGACGAAGAGAAGGACAAGGGTACAAAATGGCTGCTCTGTGAAGGGCGGGAAGACCCGCACAGGCGGGAACAAGCTCCTCCCTCCCCCAAAGAGTGGCAGATTGTGGGGGGAAAGAAGAAGAACGTTCCTTGGGGAACATCGAAGGACTTTCACCTGGACGTTACTTGTGTCCAGCGTTGTGGATCTGACCATTAGAAGCAGAATTATTTGTAGCTCAGGGTTAAAACGAGGGGTCCTTGGTGCTCTCTGAACTTGGTTGTTTCCTTGCAAGCATTTCGTTACCAAACTAGATAAGATCATCAGCAGGGCCAGTGCTCAGAGACTACCAAGAATCCCTTATGGTTAGGGTGCAGTACTGCAGGCCACTTCAGCTGACTGTGATCTGCAGTTCAGCGGTTCAAATCTCACCGGCTCAAGGTCGACTCAGCCTTCCATCCTTCTGAGGTGGGTGAAATGAGGACCCAGACTGTGGGGGGCGATATGCTGACTCTGTAAACCGCTTAGAGAGGGCTGAAAGCCCTATGAAGCGGTAAATAAATAAATAAATAAATAAATAAA